CAGAGTGACAAGTGATCTCCAGACCACAGAGATCAACGGCCATGTCAGAGGGAAGATCCTGTTTAGTTTAATTCATTTATGTTATTTATAGCCCGCCTTTCTCACTTGGACTCGAGGCAGGTTGCACAGAGCAAATCAACAAAATCAACATACGGGACATTCAATAAGCACTGCAATAGGATTAGGGTTGTAGAGCCAACCAGAAGTTTAAGCAAAGCACAAGTGGCAAATTAAATGATGTGACATTCCGTCGTAGGATCCTAGTTTTTTCAGGAGTGGCCAGACTTGCTTAATGTAAGAGCCACATAGAACAAACGTCAGGTGTTTGAGAGACGCAGGATATGAATAGATATTACACATTTTTACTGGGAAATCATGCAAATTTGCTTTTTTAAAAACATTGAATGAGACTGCCAAAAATAATATCAAAAGCGGTAAAAGCAGATATTGATAATATCTCTTTGTCCGCTGATATTTGTTTGCTAATAATATTTCGCTTCCCCAGCCGCCCTGCCGGGAGCCACATAGTATGTGTGAAAGAGCCACAGTTTGGCCACCCCTGGTCTAGCTCCAAATGACCAAAGCAACAGAACAAAAAGCTGTAGAAAACTGCTACTCATCCCAAGAGAAACATTTCAAAAGTTCTAGAAGTGATAAGCTCCGACGGGCTTTAGAATTTTCGACTTTGCCCGTCGGACCTTATCACTTATAGTACTATAAGGAACAATTCCTGGTGAAAATGTGATTTCTTAGATTCAGTTTAGTTTATTGTAATTAGCCATTGGCCGTTGTTGTTGTTGTTCAGTCGCACAGTCGAGTCCGACTCTTTGCGACCCCATGGACCAGCTCCCTCCAGGCCCTCCGGTCTTCTGCCATCCTCTGAAGTTTGCTCAACTTCATGTTCGTTTAGTCTTTTGTTAGTAACAATAAATTCTTCAGCTTCTTCTGTGTTCAAAGAAAATGTGATTTCTTAGATTCAGTTTAGTTTATTGTAATTAGCCATTGGCCGTTACAAGATTACAAAACACAAATTGTGAACATGATTTCTTAGAATTGCATTCAATGCTGGATAAAAGATAGAAGAAGACACACTTTTGAAATTTACGGTCCTTGTTCAGATGAAGTCTTCATGAAACAAATAACTGCTCCGGAAAACTTTGTCAACAATCATCATTATTATGGACCTCTCTTGCACTTTATTTCTAATTACATGATTTCTAATTACAACCATTGTTAGAATTATATTGTTTCTCTTGGAATGAGTAGTGTTTTTCTACAGCTTTTTGTCCTTGTTGCTTTGGTCACCCTGGTCTAGGTCCCACCCCTACCCAAGCCCCTCCCTCCCCAGGCTCCGCCCCCAAAATCTCCAGCCATTTCCCTACCCAGAGCTGGCAAACCTGCATCTAGAGCACTAAAATGGCATTAAACATTGTACACCTTTAAGAGGAAGAACCCGAATGGAGAATTTCACACCAGGGAGCAGCAAAAAAAAAAAAAATGAAATGGCAATTCTTCAACTCGAAATGGCAGATCTGAGAAATGTGGTGACCTCTCTATCGTGTGGGTGGGCAGGCGCCCGTCACATCTGAAGGCGCGGCGTGCGTCGCACTCAGGAAACGGGTGGCCAGAGACAAATATTTGTCACCGAAACTGGCCGACAAGATGGCACGAGGTCTCAGCACTCAGCTGGGCCACCCAAATTTGGAAAGGATGAGGTCAGAGGAAGAGCTGAGATGAACGCCGCCACAAACCACAAGCACCCTGAACGGAAGCACAATGAGCCGGGAGCGTGAAGCAAGATCTGGGCTATTCCTGTACAGCCATCCCCTCCCTTGTTACCATCGTAGCCGTAAAGTGGAAAAAGGAGAACTCGAACCTCAGAAACAAACCCGGGGGTGGGATTTGAATGTCAGATGGAGAGACGCTGAGGGCCCTCCCTAGTCACAAGGAGAGCCTACGGAAAGGCCTTCTGACTTGGAGCGACGCTCGAGCCCAGCATCCTGTTTCGATCTGTGGGCGGGAAGATATTTCTGGGGAGTTCATTAGTAGGACGTGGAGGCTAAATCCCGTCCCCCTGGTTTGACCTTAGCATTTTCTACTTAGAGGTACACTGCAGCTGAACGGAGAGGTTCCATTTAGCTTTCTCGGCTGGCAGATTAGCAGCTGTCACTACATTTTGTGGCTACGCATTCCATGTTAATCGCCTGTCGCATGAAGGAATTACTTCCTTAAACGGCTGCCAATCAATGTTTTTGAGTGACACCCCTCCACGATAGTCTTATATTATGATACAGAAGATTCCTCTGTTTTCACACACAAATGTGGTTCATAAAGGCAACATTTTATGGACGTGTATTTATATATATATCCTCTTCCTTGTTCAAATCTAGTTCAGGGATGGTGATGTTAAAAAGCTGGTGCAGCTCACTGGCTAAGAGACTGAATTATATACCAGGCAGTCTAGGTTCAACTCTTGCTAAGTGGGACATCGAGGGTTGCCCCTGGCTTGAGAAATGTTTGGAGATTTGGAGGAAATGGCGGGGGAAGGTGGAGTATGGAAAGAGAGGAAGCACCAGGCTTCTTTGATGTCACTCCCATCAAAATTCAAATTTTAAATTTCCTGCCTCGTATCGTTCAACCTAAAAAAAACACAACCCTCTTAAAATTGTCTTCAGGTTGCCCTGAGTCGATGAGAAAAATCCAGTCTGAAGGCAAACCCCTTTATCAACCCCCAATGATCCTCTGACGTTTTAGTGTCTTTATAGACAACTGTTAATCAGTCTCAGACTCTATGGTAAGCCATACAGTCTTTATGGTATATCATAGGAGAAATGGAAATCCTTGAGCCACCACTCTCTTTAGCCACTGTAGGACTTCCTTTTCTTCAAGGCTCTATGGGTCCTCCAGGGGAAAGGATCTCTGTAGTCCAGAGATCCACGGTAATGAGGATAATCATTTACTTGCTGGGGATGGGAGATCTCCCTCCCCCAGCAGGTCTTGTCCTCCAGCACTCTGGCAGCCAGAAGGAGAGAGAAAAAAAATCACTGTCAGACCTCTCTAGGAATCACCAAAACTCTATGGTTTTACCATAGAGGGGTTTTTTTTTTGGCAATTCCTAGAGAGGCATGACATCACTTCTGGCGATTACTGGAAATCATATCATGCCATCACTGAGTTATCACCTCACATCCTTACCCTACCCAGTTAGGGTTGCCAGTCCGAGCCTGGCAACTTGTGGAAGGGGGGGGCATGGTGTGGAGCACTGTTGCCACCAGAGCAATGATGTCACTAGACTGCTGGTTGGAGCCAGCTATCACGAGCATGCGGCTCAGATACTACAGCAATCACACTACCTACCAATCTGCTCCTGAGCCCAATTCAAGATGCCGATTTTGTTCTTCAAAGCCCTATGTGGCTTGGGATCGGGTATCCAAAGTACCATCTTCTCCTGTATTTTCCTGCCTGGGGATTAAGATCACAGGGAAAGGCCTTCCTGACTGTCCAAGGACCAAAGAAGCTTGTCTGGTGGGTACGCAGGAGAGGGTGTTTTGGGTGGCAGTCCCAGGAGGTGGGCCTGCCCACCTCACTTTCAGACTTTGGGAGGCAGAGGAAGACGGTTTTGTTTAGGACGGCAGTTGATCAGCTTGGCTTTTTTCAAACTGGCAGTCGTAGTTTGTGATTTTAATTAATGCATGGCTTAAAATGCTAGCCTGATCTCGTCAGATCTCAGAAGCGATGCAGGGTCCACCCTGGTTAGTACATGGATGGGAGACCACCAAGGAAGTCCTGGGTTGCTACGCAGAGGCAGGCAAAGGCAAGTCTGCTGCCATTTGACGGCATTTCACACACACACACACACACACACACACACACCAATGCTCCCTCTAAGCTGTGGAGTCTTGTGAGCAAAAATTCTACTTTGTGAGCTACGGGCATTAAAGTTGTGAGCGAGCTATTTGGCTACTGCCTAAATTAGTTTGCTCTGGAGCCCTCCTTCCTGAGCTGAGGCAAAAATGTGTGAGCAGGAGGCTAAGAAACTGTGAGCTAGCTCACACTAACTCAGCTTAGAGCAGTGGTGGCGAACCTATGGCACGGATGCCAGAGCGGGCACTCAGCGCCCTGTCTGTGGGCACGCGTGCCATCGCCCCAGCCAGGCCCAGACCATCATTAAAGTGTCGAATTCTCTGCCAAATAATTTGGGATTGCTTTCCTTCCTTTGTTTGGATCATCTTAAGTTAATGTATGTTGTTTTTTCTAAAGTAAAACCTCAGTATTCAGGTTAAATTGTCGTGTTGGCACTTTGCGATAAATAAGTGGGTTTTGGGTCGCAGTTTGGGCACTTGGGCTCTAAAAGGTTCGCCATCACTGGCTTAGAGGGAACATTGAAACACACCCATTTTATGCACGTTTTACGTTTTGTTCTGTTTATATTGTAAGCTGCCATGAGTTTCGGAGAGTAGAAGAAAGAGAGAGAGAGAGATTGGATTTATACCCTGCTCTTCACTACCCAAAGGAGTCTCAGAGCGGCTTACAATCTCCTTCCCCTTCCTCTCTCCACAACAGACACCCTGTGAGGTAGGTGGGGCTGAGAGAGCTCTTTCCAGAGCTGCCCTTGAGAGGACAGAACTTATGACTGACCCAAGGTCACACCAGCAGCTGCATGTGGAGGAGCGGGGAAGCACACCCCGTTCTCACGGCTTAGAGTCCGTGCTCGTAACCACTACACCAAACTGGCTCTCAGTAGAAAGGTAGCTAATTAATATTTTAAATCAATAAATAAAATATACAAATATGCCTGAGGTTCTTGGGCCTCCCTCTCCCCTTAAAAACACTTTGTCTGAGCCTCAGCCCCTCCCGTCCTGCCGTATGGGAAGAATATTCTGGACCTACCTTACAGGGCTGTTTTCAAAGACTACCAACCAATTCTGGGTTGAGATTGAAGAGTTTTGGATGTTCAAGCATGACCGGGATTTTCATTACATTTTTTTGGGAAAGGATACAAAGATATAGTCATCCATGAAACGCTTCTTCAGGTTTTCAACAATGGCATCTTCGTGGATTTTGGAGAGAAGGACCATGTCGTCCACTCCGCTCTGTTTGACGTTGTGGCTCTGCCAATGGAACCGCTCCTTGCTGCCCTGTGGGGACAGGATGGGGAGAGAGAGAGAGAGAGAAAAAGAGAGAGAGAGAGAGAGAGAGAGAGAGAGAGAGAGAGAGAGAACTGTTCTGTAAGAAATGGAGAGCTTGAATATTGAGTCAGTATGGCGGCTATGGAGTCAGAGGTCCTTTCCACATTTGCCTGCCATTCCAGATTTTCTCAGTGTTTGAGCTGAGGCAATTTAAGTCCAGGACAAAACAGCATCCAAATAACCCAGGTCAACAGCAGGCTGAAGCCAGGCTGACCAATGAAGGGAGGTGATGCACCGTGTTTCCCCGAAAATAAGACACTGTCTTATATTTATTTTTTCTCAAGAAGACACACTAGGGCTTATACCACAAATGCATAGAAATCCTGCTAGGGCTTATTTTTGGGGTAGGTCTTATTTTCGGGGAAACAGGTAATACAGAATGGGGGGGGACCCGTAATAAAAAGAAGGTTGAACTCGATTTTAGTGCAGAATGGGGAGAAAAACCTGGATTAAAAAGAAGGTTGGATTCAGTTTTAGTGCAGAATTGCTTGCAGGACACCGTGGTGAACATGGATTACAAGGAGAATGCGGAAGGGGCCAAACAGAGAGAGAGAGAGAGAGAGCTCTAAGGCAACTGCCTTTCAGACTGAAGAATATCCAGTAACCAACTCTGGCGTCTCCTATAGGTTCTTTAAACCTTAAACACCCACAATCAAATAAAAAAGGGGACACAGTCTTTAATAATTAGAGGACTGGTAGCATATCAGCAATATGCTCCCTAAAGGCCTCTGATTTGGAAACCTGTTAGACCAGGGGGTCCCTGATATTTTTTAGCTTGTGAGAACCACTTCTGACACAGTGTGGTGGGCGGAGCCACAATATGGCTGCCACATAGGGTTGCCAAGTCCCTTGGACCTGCCGTCAGGGGATGGGGGGTGGACTTACAAGGAGCAGGGAGGCATGCCGAAAAATGCCGAAAATAAGTGCCACGTACCTACATGACCCGGAAGTGACGCAGGCATGTCAGGGACGTCGGGAGGCGACGTTCCGGTTTTTAGGCCAAACTCTATGGTAGAATTAGCTTCTACCTTAGAGTTTGGCCCAAAAACCAGAGTGTCACCCCTGATGTCCTCGATGTGCCTACATCACTTCCAGGTCATGTAGGCACATAACTTATAATTTCAGCATTCTTCCCTGTTTGGGAGGGTAATTTGGAGGGGGTGGGGGAGGGTCTGGCATCCTACTGCCACAAAATGGCTGTCATGGAAGGTGGAGGCAGACACAAAATGCTCCTGGCATGTAGTAATTTAGTTAAAAGATTTCTCATCCAACCTTTCCCTCAAATTGAAGTTTAGCAAAAATAAAGGTAAGTTGCCTCAGTGTTAAGTCGCTTGCTTAACAAAGCAGTCGGAGAGTGATTCAGCAAGAACACAACTTTATTCTTCAACTCGAACACAACTCCAACACGGATCAACATCTGATAGCCAGAACAGCCTTTACATTGCAGCTGTCCTGCTTTTAAACATTCCCGGCTAATATAGCCACACCCACTGTACACATACCAACCAATAAGGTTGTTCACATAAGGGACCAATCACGGCCGTTCCCGCTCAGGGAGCTAACTGCTAAGTGATTGGCTTGTTACTTCCTGGGCTAGCAATACCATTGGATGACTTTGGATCCTAGCCCAGGATGAAGCTTAACATTGCTTTTCAATGAGATGTTTCACATACATTCTGCATTCCATGGCAGCTATGGAATACACTACACTCAGAAACTGGAGGTTCCACTTAAGGACCAGCAAAAAGGAAGTGTTTCTTCACATCATTATTCTATGGAACTCACTTGCCAGGGCAAGTCCCTGGCTTAGGTTACTTTAACAGAGGACTACTGGCCTAGTCTCCATGTTCAGAGGCAGTGCACTGTGGCTCAGGGTAACAGTGAGGAAGGCCGATTGGCCTCCACGCTGTGTGTCTCAAAGACATCTTCCCGGCTGCTGTCAGAAGCTGCCCTAGATGGACCCTTAATCTGATCTGATCCTGTAAATGCAGTTCTTTCCTTCTCATGTGCCTGACTGTCCAAGGATCAAAGATATCACAGCTAACAGTCGTAGATAGATCTGTCCTCTGTTATTCTGGTGAATCCTTCTGAGACGCAAAACCTAAGCTAGGGCCCATCATGTGACAAGAAGTTCCATAAATTACCGGCACCACAGGCTAATTCATTTTTATTTTTTTGTCATTCCTCAGCCTACAATTGATCAATTTCCCTGGACGACACAATAATATGACAGAGGGAGACAAATGTCTCTCCTGTAATTCATGCATTTTTATCAGCCCGCTTGCATGCACGTTGAATAATGCACTTGTGATCCACATTCAAAGCACTTTGCAACTGGATTTTACCGTATGAGACAGCAAAATCCACTTACAAGCGATTGCAAACATGCATTGAAAGTGGACTGAAAGTGCGAAATACCGCACACAGTGCAGAAGGCCCAGTCCTACTTTCTTCATTAGAAAAAAATCCCATTCGCTATGCTGTTTGCAATTCCTGCCACTAAAACAACCACTACCACAACGCTCTTGCACAGATTGATGACGCGGCCGCTTTGGAATACAGTTCCATTCTCCAGCTGCAAAAACAGTATTGGACGTCTAGAACAGCAGAAGAAAAGGGCAACTGAAAAGATCAAGGGGTTGTGACCAATGCTCCATCTAAGCTTTGGAGTCTTGTGAGCAAAAGTTGTACTTTGTGAGCTACTGACATTAAAGCTGTGTGAGAGAGATTTGGCTATTGCATAAATAAGGCCCCGGTCACACGGGAGGTTTAGGCCCGGAAGAGGGACAGATCGAGGGCGCAGCAAACGGGCGCAATCACACCACAACATCTGGGAAGTGGCGCGCACCCGTCCCCGATCCGGCCCTTCAGGCCGAAAATGCACATTAAAAAAGAACCTACAAAATGGTAGGACCTACCTGAAATGGCGCAGCAAGCGCGGCTGTGAGATCATCGGCGCGCCCGTCTTCAGGAGCAATCGAGGCTCGAACTGCGCATGCGCACACATGCGCAGCCGGCTGCCTCGCTCTCCCTTCCGTGGCTTCCCCCCGGCATCTGATCGTGCCGGGGAGCAACTGCGCGGCGGCTCAGGGGATCTGTCTGATCCCGCCGCCGCGTGTGTCTTTTGGTGTGGCTCTAAAAAGCCGCACTTTGGCTGCATCATTTCCTCCCGTGTGGCCGGGGCCTAAGTTTGCTCTGGAGCTGTCCTTCCTGAGCTAAGACAAAACTGTGTGAGCCGGAGGCTAAAAAACTGTGAGCTGGTTCACACTAAGCTTAGAGGGAACATAGGTTGTGACGCCTCCCCTACCCAGAGAAAAGGCTACAGAATCAACAACGGCCACTGGCTCAAATGGATTTAAAAGGGAGTTCAAGCGATTTATGAAGGGTATGGCTATGATTTAGTCTTGACCTGGATGGCCCAGGCTAGTTCAATTGACAGATCTCAGATCTAAATAGGCTCATCCCTGGTTCATATTTGGATGGGAGACACCCAAGGAAGTCCAGAGTTGGCAAACCGCCTCTGAACACCTCTTGCCTTATGCCGGCTGAGATTTGATGGCACACTTTCCACCTCTGCCACATAGCTATGATTGGCACTTAGCCACAACAGCTGAATGGGACCTCTGATGGCTGAGTCTGAATTGGCTTTTCCCTCTGTCGTTTTCCCAGATGCACGTTAGAACAGAAATTCCCCTCTGCATCGCAGGCTGCTTTCACTTCCTTTGATCACTGGATTTTATGGTACCTTCTGCATAGATTTATGGCTGTTTTATGGCCGTTCAGGGGTGACTTTGCCGTCAGTATGGCATTGGCCCAGCCCGAGGTATTTGAATTTGGTTCTGAGCTGCACTTTTTCCTCCCAGTTGAGAAAATGTGGAACAAATGCTAGGTGCAGAATCGCCCTGAGTTCAGAGGCAGAATTCGATAGTCAGACACTGGGCAGCAGTCAGAAGGGGAGGTCTGTAATGTCTTTGGGCCCCCTGCTTGTCGGCTTCCCCATAAGCACTGCTGGAAACAGGAGGTTGGAGGATGTAGATGGACTATTGGCCTGATCTAGCCAGCAGGGTGACTCTGATACTCTTCCACTGATTGATGGCAATGAGTGGATTGCCCCCCCCCAAAAAAAGAGGGGTGAGATGGAGAATATCTCTGGAGGATGAGGAGAGAAAAGAAGGGACCCAGAGAGATGGATGAAGGCAGAAACCCAAGACCCTCAGAAAACGAGGAGCCCACAGGGCCACGCGGCTTTGGTTCGGCTTCTGAAGCCAAGGATCGGGAGTGGCAGTTAGGGCTCTTCTTGGTATTAGGCAGAGGTAAACAATCCACAATAATAACACACAATCTCAAGACAGTCTGGTAAGAAAAAATATATATATACAGATGCGTGCTAGATTAGGGCTGCCAAATGCCCCCGGGGGGCGGATTTCCCCCCGCTTTCAAGCCCTGATTCCCGCTCCCGCGGAACCGGGGCCCAGGGGAAACCCCACCCCCGCGTGCGCGTCACCCGGAAGTGACGTCGCACGCTGGGGGCGGGGCCACGCCATTTGAGGGGGAAACTCTTTGTTTTCCCCTCAGATGGCATGGCCCCGCCCCCAGCATGCGACGTCACTTTCAGGTGACGCGCGCGTGCAGCAGACGCCAACCGGGAGCCCCCCGCTCCCGGCCAATTGACATTTGGCAACCCTATGCTAGATGCCCACAGAATAATACAATAACAAGGGAGACTAGATTAAAGCCATAACACCATTTAGTGTCAAGTAATGAAAAACACACTCATTCCTTCATAGAAAAAATACAAACGTTAATAAAATTGCACATAGCTGTCTGCTCCAAACTCTCTCAGTCAATATCATTCTGACAATCCTGTATTCTCAAAAGCAGTCTGCTCCAAATTCAATCTCTCTTTCAACACGTCTGGCAGGACCTGTTGGGGACAAATCCATGCTAAC